GAGAAAAGTAACCTGAAAAAAGATAGATAGATAGATAGATAGATAGATACATACATACATACATACATACATACATACTAACTACATGGAAAGCAGGGGAAAATACCACTAATGTCCTCATTAATATAACTGAATAAAATGACTTAGAGATGGCTGGAGAGATGGCTTAGGAGCTAAGAGTACTTGCTGCTCTAGCACAGGACCTGGGTTTGGTTCCCAGTACCCCTATAGTGGTTCACAAGCATTTGTAATTTTTGTTCTGAGGGATCCAATGCCCTCTTCTGGCCTCTGTGGGCACCAGCCACCCACAGGTGCACATACATACAAGCAGGCAAAACACTCATACACATTAAAAAATGTAAAAACGCTATATCCATGAAACAAAAAGAGGACAGTTTAAGAGAAAAGCTATGAGAAAAAAAGTTCTACTTCTTTGACAACATAATAGCAGAATTTTTAAAAACTCAATAAAAGTATTAAAAGATAAACATGAGAAAATCCACATAGCAAAAATCAAAAGATAAAAATGTGCAAGATAGAAGAGAGACATTATGAACGCTCTGGTAGACCGGTATAATGGGCCTGTAGTTGAATAAAATAAACTCTCAAGAAAGGGAGAAGGGGGCCGGGCGGTGGTGGCGCACGCCTTTAATCCCAGCACTCGGGAGGCAGAGCCAGGCGGATCTCTGTGAGTTCGAGGCCAGCCTGGTCTCCAAAGCGAGTTCCAGGAAAGGCGCAAAGCTACACAGAGAAACCCTGTCTCGAAAAACCAAAAAAAAAAAAAAAAAAAAAGAAAGGGAGAAGGTGTGGTTGGAGAGATGGCTCAGAGGTTAAGAGCACTGACTGCTCTTCCAGAGGTCCTGAGTTCAATTCCCAGCAAGCACATGGTGGTTCACAACCATCTGTAATGATATCTGGTTCCCTTTTCTGTCCTGCAGGCATACATACAGGCAGAATACTGTATACATAATAAATAAATATTTTTAAAAAAAAGAAAGGGAGAAAGGGAAAATGAAAGAAATATCATAACAATGTTATTCAATAAAAAGTCAAAGAAGTAAAGTATTTGGATTGCCATGTTGAAATGATTCAGCTCACCAACCGCCATAACGATTTTATGAAATTTCAGAAAACGTCAGACAAAGAAAAGATTCCTTCCCTAAGTTGTCATCCAGGGGAAAAGCAAATAGGCTCTATACAAAGAATGAGAAATCAGAACCTTCAGACTTCTTTCTCCACAGCAGCAAGAAGATGAAGCAATACCTTTAAAAGGCAAAGAAAAATGACTTCCAACATGCACTGTAATATCTAGGTGTGATGGCTCATCTTCACTGTCAACGTGGCTGGGTTTAGAATCACCATGGAAACACACCTCTGGGATGTCTATAAGGGTACTTCCAGAAAGGTTTAACTGAAGATGGAGGATCCACCCTGAATGTGGGCAACACCATCTACTGAGCTGGGACTCCAGACTGAAAACAAAGAAAGCTGTCTGAACCCCAGCATTCGTCTCCCTCTGCTGTCTGACCTCTGACACAGTGGCCAGGCACCTGGGGCACCATGCCATCCCAGTAATGAGAAATTGTAGCCTCAGATCGGAAGCCACAATAAATCCTTTCTACCTTAAGTTACCTTTGTTGTGTATGTCAGCTCAGTGCTTAGAGGAGTAAGTACTACATTAGGCAAAGCACAGACAGATCAAGTCTGAGAGCACAGTAAAAGCACCTTCAAGCCCACAGACATTCACATTCCATTCACTTTCTTCAAAGTTGCTCCCAAGGAGGTCCTTCACCAAGTGATGTACAGGTTTCAGCGACGGAGGTCCCCAGTATGACTACCACACACAGAAGCCAACCAGATGGGAAAGCCATGGTACATGCATGTTAAAGATGGTCACTACCGCCGGGGTGGTGGCACACGCCTTTAGTCCCAGCACTCAGGAGGCAGAGGCAGGTGGCTCTCTGTGAGTTGGAGGCCAGCCTGGTCTACAGAGTGAGTTCCAGGACAGGCACCAAAACTACATGGAGAAACCCTGTCTCAAAAACAACAACAAACAAACAAACAAACAAACAAAACGGTCAATACCAACCACTCCACCACCAGTAAATCCTTTCTTGTCATAGTTCTGTTTTATATGTGTGATTATTAGATTTCAAATGCAAAAGGAGGTCCTTCCTATTCCCATGATCCTATTCCCATCCTGATTCAACAACTGTCAAGAATTCAGCATACTGACTTAATGTACCACATTTATTTTTGTTTATTCCACCTCACAGTACCCCATCTTTATGTATCTCAAAGTCCATTTTTATATCACCTCTCCTTCAAAATACTATTATCACTCCTAAACATAGCAGTAACTTATATTTATCACCTAGCAATCCTTGATAAAATTTCCCCAAGATCTTTTTTTAAAAAAAATACCTTTATACATAACTGTGTCCTAACCCCCAAAATTCACACAGAAGCACTAACCATCTCCCAAACCCTCAGAAAGTAACTATAATTGGGGTCAGGGTTTTTGGTTTGTTTGTTTGTTTGTTTGTTTGTTTTTCAAGACACAGTTTCTCTGTGTAACAACCCTGGCTGTCCTGGAACTCTGTAGACCAGGCTGGCCTGGAACTCACAGAGACCCACCTGCCTCTGCCGCCCAAGTGTTGGAGTTAAAGGCAACCACCCACCCGGCTTGCGCCACCTTATCCAGCGGGGTCAGGGTATTTAAAGAAACAATAAAGTTAAAATGGCCCCGATCTGATTGGTACCCGTCCAGAAGAGGTGACTAGGACATAGAAACAGGGGCATTTGAAGGATAGGACAACAAGAAAAGCTTCCAAGGAAACTAACCTACAAGTGCCTTCACCTTGGTCTCCCTACTTTCAGAGCTGAGGGAAAAGTTATTATTTAAGTCATTCAAGTCTATTGTTTAAGTCATTCAAGTCTGTGGTATTTTGTTATGGCAGTCCCAGCAAGTGAATACATAGTCTATCCCAAACTAAAGCAAGATTCACATACTTCTGCTAGTTATATTTTTTTTCTTTTAGATGGGGCCTTGCTAGGCTATCATTGAATTCCTCAGCTCAAGCAATCTTTCTGCCTCAGCCTCCCAAGTACCTGGAGCCACAGATGTGAATTACTGGGTCTAGCTCTGGTTATAAATCTTAAGTCACTCCTTTTTTTTTTAATGTCATGAACTTGTTTCAGAAGCCAAGACAGTTGTCCAATAGAATGTCCTACAATAGAATGTCCTACAAGACATCCGATAGAATGTCCTACATTTTGAATTCATGTGTTCACTTGCTCAGAGTATCATTCAACCTGTCATCTTTCCCCTTGTTTCCAGTAAATCTAAGCCCTGGCACTTGGCTGGCTTTAGGAGTCAATTGTTAGGTGAGGGCAGTCCCTAGGCACTTCTGCATAGTTTCCCTAACCTCACAAAGACTGCACAGGGAAAACTGCCCGGGTTGTTTTCCTGACCTGCTGAGGGAGAGCTATACACCTCCTCCTTGGTGCCTGCTTGGGTCAGGGATAGGCACTCACTTCAACTTACAGGAGTTTGACTCTGACCTATTTCCTAAGAGCTGGAGGAAGGCCAGGGAGACTAGAAAAGACAGAGCCATGCACTCTGTGACCACATGATAACTCTCTGATACCCCAGCAGTGGACGACCTTATATCCCTCACACTTGCTCTCAATGTTTCACACTTACTTCCTCCTTAGAACCTTTCCTAACCCTTAGGGAGATAAAAGCCAGACTGGCCCAGGGTTTACCTCCATTAGGTTTGTGCTTGTTTCTGTTTTTACAAAATAAAACAGCATAGATTTAAGTAAGTAATACAAGCATGACTGGTTAAACCACAAAGAAAAGTAAGGGAATGATGAACGCAAAAGTCAGGAGAATCATTGTTTTGTTTTGTTTTGGAGAGGGAGGCAATAACTGTTTCCAGGGAATCAACAATTTCAATTTAATTAACGGAATGATGAAGACATCATTTTGATCGTAGAGCTTAAAGCACTCCCTGGTTTGTGTTACGTCTCAGGTTAATGTGGCTTGTCTGTGAGCAGTCTACTACAGCTAGAACACGAGCTTCTCAGACAGAGTTACAACAAGAAAGACTGGAAATGGAGTTTACGAGAAGGCAGATGAGCACCCCAGGGATGCTCTTTTGGGGGTATCATCAGGGGATATTTATTCCCAAGATCAACTAAGATGGCTTTCTCACCATCTATCCATCAAGAATGATTAGAGAAAAATCTTTCCTTCTACTAAATTACCTAGCGATGAAATATCTGACATCCTAAGCTTCTCCCTGGGAAACCCAATAATACGGCTTGATATATTTTTCCAGTAAGAAGACTTCCAGCTTGCCCCCGGGGAATTCGTTTGCCTCAGATTCGTAAATGGCATAAAGCTGGAAGGGAGGCCGAACAAATGCTTCAGATGACAGAACAGGGACACAGCTTGGGGAGCTGGAGTGACAGGTCAAATCTAGCCCAATTTATAAGAACATTTACCGTTGGTTGAGAATATAGGATTTGCCGAGAGCTTTACATAATTTGTTTCCTTTAATCCTGAGAAGCACACGGCAAAGTCCAGGCTGGGACTGTAACTGGTACAAGGTCACAGAGCAAGTTAGCTGCAGAATCACAAGTCACCCAGCTCCCGAGGTGCAGGTTTTACTCTCCGGTGAGCTTCTCTCAGCAACCAGCAAATAACATATTAAAAAGCCTGTCACCCTCTGAGAACTGGCCCCAACCCTGGCCCAGACCCCATTGGGCACACAAAGGTATCAGTGCTGCCAAAGAATGATCAGGTCAAGCTGATGCCATCAATAGGGACCTCCATTTGCCCTTAAGAGCTGGCTGTAACCCACCCATCCCCATGCCTGCCTTCTTGTGTGTAATTGGAACTCAACAAACTCAAGCTCTACAGTTTGGGGGGTCCCCCACACACACACAACAAAGACCCCTGAGCAAAGCCCCTCTGCCAGGCTGTTTCCCACCTTCGATTTTCTTTCCTCCTGGGGCCACTGGTATGTGATGGGTGTGAAGCTGAGAGAACAGCACACGCAGCTACAGCACAGTCATATCCAATGGAGCAACCTCGAAAGACAGCCCAAGAATTTTAATGAAAACCAGAAAACCCCTGGCTGCAAGGCAGGACTGCAGTCCAAGCCCGAATGCCCCTCCCTCTGCAGCTAAGAATCCCTGAGCCAGCTTCCTCCCGGAGTGCAGAGAAAAAAATCCATCCTGCATTCAGTACTGCTTTTCCCAGCAGCTGCTTTCTGGGGTTATTTAGGTTAGAGCAAGGCACATGCTGACTGCAACAGGACCCAGGACCCTGAGAAGCACAGGGTGTGGCTGCAGCAGATCTGGGTGCCAACAGATTATGAAACAGTCATTTTTTTTTTAAGGCTTCTCTTTCCTTCTGCCAAAGCTGCCTGCCTGCCCACAGCTGCATACAAAGCTAGTAGAGAATCTTAACGAGCTTAAAGGGAAGGGACCAGATTTCACAAACTTGAAAACCAGAGGGAAAGAAACGTGCATCTGGAGCACTTATGGGCATCAGTGGTGCTGACCTCAAGTTCGAATTCTCTAGGAGGGGGGAATTTAAGCTGTGTGTGATGGAGAAAAAGGCCAACTCAGGAGGCTGGGTAACTTCTTCAGGGCGGGGACCAAGACTGAAGTTCAGGAGGAGTAAAGCTCATCAAAAATACAAACTATAGGCCTTGCTATACAGCTTGCCTAGGATGCATGAAATGCTGGGGAGGATCCTTAACGGCACATAACCCAGGCAGACAGGTGGCACATGCCTATAATCCTATCACTTGGGTAGAGGCAAGAACTACATCAGTAGTTCAAGGTGAATTTGAGGCCAGCCTACATAACATGAGGAGCGGGGGATGGAATACAAACTAAAGCTTGGCATGCTGGCTCACACCTGTAAATGCCAACATTGGAAAGCTGAAATAAGAAGACTGTTGTGAGCCTGAAGCCAGTCTGGACTTCATACTGATTCCAGACCTGACAGAGTTACTGGGTGAGCCCCTATCTCAAAACAAAACTGTAGTGCATGTGAAACCATGGATTTGATCCTCAGCACTGGGAAGAATCAAATTCAACACCACAAGCTGCCTCCCTAATAAAAAGAAGGGGGTGGGGAATGTTCACTAGCTGCACACTACCCATGTGCATGGCACCCAAGCTAAGCTTTTCCCCAGCATTCTATCATGTAATCCTCAGAACAATTAGATAAGATAGGAGTCCCTTCTATCCCCATTTTCCTATGAAGAAACTACGGCTTTGATGTTAATTGGTACTAGGATTTTAACCCTAGGCTATCTAATTCCCACCTTAAACACTCTAGCAGCCTACAGAAGGAAAGAGCTTAAGCCATCATGCCAAGCAAGCAAGTCTCACGGAGATTGCTCCTTCCCAATAGCAAATCCACATTCTACGCTTACCTTCGGTCCTCCCTGGTACCCTTCAGCAGAATCACAGAGCCACTGGCCCTAGGAAGGCTGATCACTAAACCTCTACCTTCTCAAGCACATGGCCTCTGCTGACTGCATGTGTGGAAGAGGAGGCTGCCACCATTAGTCAGTCAACCTCACTTGTGAAAGACAGACAGTTCCTTCCTGCACACTGCTCCGCCGACCCCCATAACCTTACAGCAGCCTCCACCCAGCTACACACAGGTTCATTTTGTATTCTTAACAGGAGACCATATGCCTCTACCTAGAGCAACTGTGATTCCCCAAGAGAAAAGACTGTCTAGACAGAGCATCCCAATCCATCTTGACGAGAAAGGAGCTACGTGTTGCCCGGTTTGCTCACATAGATCTCGAGGTCTGTGTTCCGTGCTCCAGCCAAAGCTCTGGACTTGACATTTCTGGGTGGTCATCACCCAGTCCAACAGCTCATACACTGAGTTAGAACTGTCTTTCCAAGCCAGGCAAATGTCTCTGGAGGAGGGGGTATAACACCGGAGTATGACATACTCGCTTGTGGGCCATGCACACACAGCCACACCACACACAGTTCCATGAAGCAGACTGGAACTTGAAAGAACTCTTCGATGCACAGACAGTGAGGTTTCATGATGGCTTTGAGGTAGACTGAGCACACATTAGCCAGGCAGCTGGTGACTTAACCTTGAGAACATTCTGTGAGGCAGACGGGATTGCTACTCAGCAAAGGCGGCAACTGAAGCCAGAGAGGTAATATAATTTGTCTAAAATCACACAGGAAGGGTTAAAGCTCAAGCTCAAACCTGATTTTTTTTTTTAGTTTGTTTATTTGATTGGGTTTTTGTTGTTGTTGTTGTTTTTCTCAGTTTTTTTTTTGTTTGTTTGTTTGGTTGGTTGGTTTTTGGTTTGAGGGGTTTGTTTGTTTTTTTTCCTTTTGTTTTGTTTTGCTTAATTTTTGTCTGTCTGTCTGTTTGTTTGTTTGTTTGTTTGTTTGTTTTGTTTTGGCAACAGGGTCTTATGAAGCCTATGCTGGTTTACAACTTGTTATGCAACCAAGACTAGCCTTGAACTCATGATTATCCTGTCTCTACCCCCAAGAGCTGGGATCATAGGAATGCCCCCACCACACTCAGTCCTTGTTACATGATTCAAACTGGCCTTGAACTCAGGATCCTCTTGCCCCAGTTTCCTGCATGCTGGGATTACTGACATGCACTGCCACACCCAGCTTCAAATGCGTTTTGAATATGACTTTCACACCCTTCCATTCTGGCAACCAGATGAGAATCAAGGCAAGCCTCTCTGAGGCAGGAGGATTCCAGCTGAGATCTGGAAGATGAGGAGTCAGCCACTTAATTTAGGAAGCTAGGAGCACAAGAAACAGGAAATGCAAGCACTAACTGCAGGACCAGACTGGGGACTGCTGGGGAATGGGAAGAGGCTTAGCACAGAGAAGGTAAATGGTTCAGAGGAGGCAGGCCCTTGTTAACCGTGACAAATAACCATTGTGTTCTAAGGGAAACGCGAAATAAAAGACAAGTTTAATGGGGAAATGGCATGACATGATTCATGCTTTAAAGAGATGATACTGAGCTAAGGCATTCAGTCAGTAAAGCACTGGCTTTGCTGAATTTGATCCCTAGAATCCGGGAGGAGGGGGGGCGCACCCTGATGATCACATCATTATAAAATCATTATTGTGTATGCTGACTTTAAAAATAAATTAAAAGAATATTAGGGCAGGGGAACTGGCTCAGCAGGTTAAGGAAGGCACTCACCACCAAGCTTGACAACCTGAGTTCCATCCCCAGAGAGCACAGATTTGACCCCCATACCCATCTACAATGGTGCACACATACACACACATAGACACACAAAAAATAAATAAATGTAATGAAAAAACTAAAAGATTTACTTTAAAAGAATATTAAAATGAGAAAAATAAAACAAAAAAAATAATAATTCTGGCTGCTGTGTGAAGGAGAGACTATATAAAAGAGGCAAGAGGCCGGGCGGTGGTGGCGCACGCCTTTAATCCCAGCACTCGGGAGGCAGAGGCCGGCGGATCTCTGTGAGTTCGAGGCCAGCCTGGGCTACCAAGTGAGTTCCAGGAAAGGCGCAAAGCTACACTGAGAAACCCTGTCTCGAAAAACAAAAAAAAAAAAAAAAAAAAAAAAAACAAAAAGAGGCAAGAGTTGGAAGAGGGGAGAAAGGATTAGGAGGTTTGGGCCAGGGTGAGCGTAGTAGAGATGAATTTTATATTTGCAGATGGGTGGGACTGAAAAAACTTGCTGGTGCATTGTATGAAAACAATGACAGAAACAAACTCATAGGTCTCTAGCTTGAACAACTGGGTGAATTATTAGTGACTTCCCTGTCCGTGGACAAATACAGGTGAGCTGCTGAGCACGGTACTACAGGCCTTCAATCCCAGTACTCTAGAGGCTGAGGCAGGCAGATCTCTATGAGTTCAAAGCCAGTCTGGTTTACATAGAGAGTTCCAGGCCAGGCCAAGGCTACATAGTGAGATCCTGTCTCAATAAACAAACAAACAAACAAGAGGTACAGAGATGGCTCAGTGGATAACATATTTGCCACACAAATATGAAAACCTTAGTTCAGATTCCCAGAACCCATGGAAAGCCAGACATAGTACCATACATCTATAATCCCGGTGTTCCTATGGTGGGATGGGAGGTGGAGATAGGAGAATGACAAGAAGCTCATGGGCCAGCATACACATGAACACACACACACACACACACACACACACAGAGAGAGACAGAGAGACAGAGAGAGAGACAGAGACACAGAGAGACAGAGACACAGAGAGAGAGAGAGAGATTTAAAAATAGAATCAACTAGATGACCCCTTACCTGGATGATTAGAGGGAAGGAGTTAAGAACTGAGGTCAAATCAACCCAATCCTAACTTCTTGATTTCTCTGATATGGGACAGAAAAATCTCTCAACCTTTTTTTTTTTTAGCAATATGCTTGGGTTAGGACAAACAGTTTAAATAATATAAGCAGTGTCTGTGTGTTTATTTGGGTCTGAGTGACTGTGGGTCCGGGCGGGACTAGAGATAACTCCAGCAACAGATTTCTGTACGGTTGTTTTTTTTTTCTTTTCTTTTTTTGTGAGACAGGGTTTCTCTATGCCTCTCCTGGAATTCACTCTGTAGCCCAGGCTGGCCTCGAACTCACAGAGATCCACCTGCCTCTGCCTCCCAAGTGCTGGGATTAAAGGTGTGCGCCACCACCGCTTGGCTGATTTCTGTAGTTTTAAGATAACATTACTCTAGTTTTTATGCCTGGAGTTTCCCCCAATAGTTCCTTGCTACATCTTGCTTCTCAGAAGACATGTAAGGTTATTAACTGGTTTCTATCATTACAAAAGGAACCCTGGTTCACTTCTACATGTCATCAAGGATCCTGAAAAGTTCTCTGCTATAGGTAGAGTTAGGGAATTAGATAGCCCCATAGCTCCAATGTAATAGCTCTATCTCCTCTGGCTGGTTTTTAAGAATCATTTATATCTCCATTGTTGTCTTTGACATATAGAGAATAGCTGGGCATAGTAGCTCACACCTGTAATCTCTGCAATTTGGAGGCTGGAGGCAAGAAGTATGCGTACAAAGCCAGCCTGAGCTACAGATGAAAACCCTAAACACAATAAGCAGTGGAGAGAAGACAGTTTGGATGCTGGACCACAGCTTGGTTCTGACACTTCCTAGTAAAAATGGTGATCTATCGTACGGACCCTGTGCTCATGCTGATGTGTGCTGTGTGAATTGTTATAACTAAATTCTTTCAGTCACCAAAGAGTATCCACTATTGTTACCTCTGT